CTCTGATCTGGGAGCACCGAACTTGTTGTCGAGAACCTCTTTGTCGATGGGATTCATGGTAGCCTCCTGATACTTTCCATCCTCGTGACACTGGTCCCAGCTGGCTGATAAAGTTTCGTCAGGGGCATTCCTCACGCCATCGCACGCAGGGCTGCGGCTAAATATCGGCAGTGAGGAGTTGTCCCTCTTGGTAAGGCTTGACAAGACATCCCTTCGATTCTGCTTCCGTGCACGCCAGCGCGCAATCAGCCATAGCACAGCGAGAACCAGCAGCAAGGCCACTGGCAGAAGCATAGCTGGCCCTGGCTAGGTATGGACAAGAGTCGGATATTCACCTCGCGTATGACTGTCTATAGCCAGCATTGCGCTTGGTTAGGTAATGCATGTGAGGGATGCCAAACGACATGCTTTCTGCATGGCTGTTCTCGACGGAGACGTGGGCTGTGGGCCCAGGATTTGCCAAGAAGTAAGTCTGAACAATCCATGACAACCAACTCAAACCATCTAAAATCATAAGCCCTCCCTCAAGTTCCGCCTCCTTTCCTTGGACAGGCTGGCCATCTGCCGTGCCTGCGAAGCAGAGTAAGATCGCAGGCTTTATGGTGCGTTTGCTAAGCACACCTATCTCTAACTAGAATAGACGTCGCACTCCACTGCTCAATCTTCCACAATGTCAGCAGTCGAAGCAGAGATGAACAGACATTGATGGGAACTGTAAAACCCAGGCCCTACACCCCACCCGAAATTCCCTGATACCAAAACTCTCCACTGCAATCCGAACTCTCGAGGACCCTGTCCTCTGGTACTCGATGGCCCATCTGCGGGGCGAGATCTCTTCACCGCCAGCACGGCTCGGAGAGGCCTCCGGCAGGTTTAGGGTTTTTGGCCCTCGAAGACTCGCAGGTCCACCAATCGACACAACAAACGAAAAGGCGGCAAGCAAGAGGCAGCCGAGCCTCACTTTACTTCAGCTGTTTGCCTATGACTCCATTCGCAGAAACAACACGCGAGGCACAGGACAATAATTTGGAGTTTGGAGGGTCGGAAAACTTTTGACAAGGCTCCAATTCCCTTTCGACATCCAGATCAGGTTTCCCCTTCAGCTCAGCGGGCGAGCCTCCCGGTCTCCAAAGGCTACTGCCAACCCCAGTGCGGGGCAACGCTGCATGCTTCCCCGGCAAGGAAGACACAAGCGACGCAACATCGCACATACGACAAGATCCAACAGGTTCCAACTGCACTCAGACGTACAGTAGCGGCTTGGTGGCGTGGGGCCAGCGTGATGGCGCCGTCGTACGAAAGCTATGCGGTGGCAAGGATCCCCAGAGACCCCAATAACCCTTAATTAAGGAATATTCCTTAAATTATAGTAGGATCCTTAATATAATTTAAGGTATATTCCTTAATTAAAGGATAATTGAGTCTCTGGGTCCAGCAAAAGTGTCCTCATGGATCGAGAAGACGACATCTCACATGGCTGACACTCGCCATCCGCTCGGACATGCAGTGGCAAGGAGCGTAGTGTTTGTAAGGTGAACAGGCATGATCGAAACCCCAACGACGTCCATCTTCGTAGCTCTTCTGCCGACTGGTCACGTAGTCCCCAGAGAACCCAATACCCCTTAATTAAGGAATATACCTTAAATTATGGGGGCCTTAGTATTATGATTTAAGGTATATTCCTTAATTAAGGGGTATTGGGTTCTCTGGGTCTGTTCTAGGCAAGGCTGGGACCCGTTCTTCCTTTCTCCTGCGACCTCGGGATGATTTCATGACTCCTGCTACACTTCCTCCGCTTCCACGCCTTGCGAATCTCCGACGTTTTCCTCGGGGGTGTTTGTTGTTCTTCAGCTTAGGTAGGGTGTTCTCTGCTCTCTTTTTCTTTCTTTATTTTTGTATTTCTCTCTGTCTCTCTTTCTTTCGCCAGGGCTAGGGGTGAGAGGAGCAAATCTCTCTCTCTCGCTCTCTCTCGCTCGCTCTCTTTGTAGAGCTGAGAACGATGCTTTCACGAAATGGGGGTAGTCTTCCACTCCGGCCTCGCCGCCGTCTCGCGAGCCTCTCGGGGCGCTTTCCACTCGAGAAGCTCCAGGGGGTCCTGTTCAAACGAGTTCACGGGGCTTACCTGGACCCCCAGATAACCTACCTTTTTAAGGTTCCTTATGATAGTTTACTGCTCTCGGATGCACATGGAAGCTGTGCAAATTGCCTCAACCCTTTTTTGAGGAGGGGCTGCAGAGCACATGCCGACGGAAACCGTAAGCCGTGGAGGGCATTTAAGGGTACGATTCCTAAGAGGCTTCAAGCGGATGTACTAAAACCTCCAATGCCTAAACCCTAAACCCTAAACCCTAAATGGCTTCAAAGCACTACAGTCGCTCTGTTGCATGTCCCGGTGCCTCCATGGGTCCCTGAAGTCGCCGGTCCTGCGTAAGTCGGTCCAATGGGTCACTTATGGGGGTTTCCGAAAATAGGGGACCCCAACATAGTACCCTAAATAATAGGATCCTTATTATAAGAACCCCCAAATAAGGTACCCCTTATTCTCGGAAGCTCCCTTATGGTTGAGGGTCCAAGGTTTAGGGCTAAGAATCACGTCGACTCAGCTGCACAGGCGGCGGATGCTTCGGAGAACATTCGCCTAAACTCGAACTGCCGTCGCCCGTCCTTTCTGAAGGCATCTAGCGCCCCCTGCCGACAAAGCAAGTGTCATGCCCTGCTCTCCACTGGGCGTTCAACCCCAAACAATCCAAGGCCCTTAAATCGAGCAGCAAACTGTAGCTTAGAGGGACCCTGAATTTGCCTTTTGACATCTTTACCACCATTTGAGTTGGTGTTAGGCTCTCTGCCGATGCCGCCTGCATGTCTGCCGTGGCTTGCTGGGCAGATCGTAACCTCGAAAGCCAGCAAAAGCCAGGGCCAATATACTATAATAACAATGCTGAACCCAGAGAGCCCAATACCCCTTAATTAAGGAATATACCTTAAATGATATGGGGCCTTAATACTATAATTTAAGCTATATTCCTTAATTAAGGGGTATTGGGCTCTCTGGGGAACAAGTGAAGGCCACACTTCCATCGTCTACTGCAAGGAAAGAACTGCCTGCAAGTAGCGGCCCGTACGGCAAGAAAAGCGCTGGCCAAAGGAACCAGGTGGGCAAGAAGTTGAAGGGCGACCGCAACTATTCAACCGAGTCAAAGCGAACCCTGAACCAGTCTGAGCTCTGAGCGATTCGTCCAAATGCTCACACCTTGAGTGCCAAGTTCTCAGGCCGCGACCACATCCGTGTGTATATACATAGAATACAGCTATTCACACACACACACAGAGACAGTCAAAGCATACCGGTAACAAACTTTTCTAAACCTACTCGATATCGCAATAGTCATGAAGGCCGTCCCACGGAAGTGTAACTGAAAACCATGGTCCTCGTCTTGCGGATAGACAAGAGTGAGGCATCCTTCGACTGTTTCAAGCGTTTCTGTCATCAGACACGGCTCTGCAGGGAACCCTCCTTAAAAGACTCCAGTTAAGTACCTCTCCTTGAACCATGTTGAAGGGGATCCCAATGTAGTCTTAAGGTATAATTCTTGACGCTGTACAGGAAATCTTGATTTGCCTTGGGCTCATGCGAGGCTACAAGTAGCTTCGAATCCAAGGTCACGGCCGTCGCACACCTCAAAGCCTGGACCGGGCCTCCTCCTCCACAATATGGGGGTTTCCAAAAATGCAAAAACCCTAATACAGTGACTTAAATAGTACGATTCTTATAAACAAGGTACTCCCTTGTTTTCGGAAACTCCCATATAGGGGCCTGAATCAATGGGATAGGCTTTGCGGGTACGGGTATATGAGGAGCCTTAGGGATAACATTGGTATTGATCAAGCGCCCATGTTGCAAGGTTTTCTAAATACCACGGCATCAGTCTGCTCACAGCACTGCGTAGACTTCGGAAAAACACGACCTTGCCGATAGAAATGCTACCTATAGTCTCCATTGTAGTTGTAGTTCCGTTTTGGGGATACTTTATAAACTCCTTAATACATAATTGGTTAAACCACAAAAAGGAACTACAGTGGAGACTGTAGGTAGAAAGACATCTGAGCCCCTGGATACGCTTGTCTCAGCTCTTTGCAGTCATCTTTCTCCCGGCCATTCTTCACTGACCGCTATTCTTCTTAACGTCGTCTCACGGAGTGATACCTGACCTACCTGACACATCCGAGCCGGGAGCTCTCCAGGGGACAGCCGCGGAGGACCAGCACGATCTGCCTGGCATACAGGTGGGGGTTCACTAAACTTAAGACTAGCCTGTCCAGTTGTCCTTAAGGACCGTGTTAACTTGGGTCCCTTCTACTCTGAAACTCCAATGTGCTGCAGCTGCTACACTTCCATGAGCATGCCTGTGTGAACCATGCGTTCAGCAGAAACACAACATACCCCAAACAGCATACCCCAAAAGTTGCTGATGTGCCTGCGATGACGCAAAACTGCACACTCCACTCCACCAACAGCCCAAAAATCAGAAAAGTCAGACCCAGCCCACACCACCCACCCACCGCCCCCGAGACACATAAGTCGTTTTGGAGCCCCTCGGAGAACATCCCCGTGCGTTTGGCAAGAAAGTGTGAACTTGTCAGCGGATGTGATTAGAGGAGCTGGATTTTCTTTTCCGCCGCGCCAGCAGAACACCTCGGTCCTCCGAGCTGCTTGTGCAGAGTCAGAGTCTGCATGCACGTCACGGAGCCATGTCGGCTTGACTAAACACGTGCTGTAGAGACTCTGTTCCTGCACTCGGCCGATGACACTGGCCATAGAAGGGGCCAGGTAGTTGCAACATTTCGCTGGGCAAGAACGTAATGGTGTTGATCGTCACATGCTGCTGCGATGCAACATCAATGTTTGCTGAGCTTGTTGTTCTGCCAGGACAGATAGTTTACAGTTTTGAAGCTCTGCGACAATCACGACAGCTTCGCTCACTGACGAAATGAAAAGCCCGTCAGTTGCTGCCCAGTAATCGCTCGATCAATTCTGCTTTCCGTCCGGAAACCGGAAGGTTTTTCTTGCGCCTGGAATAGCAAACAAAGGACCGCTGAAAGTCTCATAGCTCTCCAACTACGTATGGCTAAGAACTGCCCGGGTTGGGTTGTAATAGGCTTACTGACTGCATATTTACTCAGTTCGCGATCGTCTAAACAGTAGCACGAGGCAGATGAGCTCGGTGGGGGGCTGCTCCACAAAATGGTCCTCTTGGGTCCTGAATGCAACTGCGACATGATCCGTGAAGTTGTGTGCCGCCGAGACGCAACATTTCTTTGAGCTCAAAGACGGTGCACTTCTCCAAAGCATCCTGTTCGTCTCTGTTAGACCCTAAGCCCTAAACCCCTTTTTGCCTGAACCCTAACCCTAAACCCCTAAACCCTAACTTAAAGCCCCAGATCCTTCTAGAACCAGACTGTGGCCCTGCAGTTTCCTGCTTCGTCTCCTCCCTCCCTGCTTAAAGGATCGTGGGACTTAGTATAGTGTTTAGGGTTTAAAGTTTAGGGTTAAGGGTTTAGGGTTAAGTAGGGTTATAACTAAGGTAACTACACTTCTAACCCCAATTAGGGGACGTACAACCACACTTACTAAGTCCCATGATCCTCCAAGTGGTTCCATACTTCCTACCTTCCTCCCTTCCCTTCCTTCGAGTTGGATTGCACGAGGCGTGCACTCGAGAATCTGTTCTACCCCTCCCCCCCCTCTCTTTCCGAATTGCTGAGTTCCTTGTCTCAAGAGGGGCTGGCCTTTCAATTCTGGCAGCATCGGCCAGCGTTTACAATCTACAGTCATACATGCAGCTGGCACGATGTCTGCGCATGGACCACGCGCCCTGCAACATGCACTTCAAGAGATTCGGATTACGATGCAATGGTATTTCTTAGCCGAAGCACCATGACCTTTACCCCGTGGCCTGCCTCGATCCTTATTCAAACTCTTGCAGCATGGCGAGCAGGAGAATTCAAGAGACGAAATTGCTGCTTGATCACTGTTCAGCTGAGCGTTAGTTTACGTCCCCCTCAAACAAACTCGCCGCATGCCAGACTCTAGGCTTGCAGTCCTTGTCTTGCGCTACTTCCTCCTCTTCTTCCTCATCGTCGTCCTCCTCCTCCTCGTCATCTTCTTCTTCCTCCGGGTCATGTGTGTCTGAGCTGTACCGGAACAGCTAAGATAACGTGGCAGGTGCTATCTGTCGCCTTTCTCTGTTGCATGCTAGTTCTCATTGTCTAGTCTTTTTTTCCGCGCTCTCTCTCTCTCTCTCCCGGGCATGGGGGATAGCCAGATGCCCCAGCTTCAAGCCCACCCGAACGTGTTGCACGGGTTTTGGGGAGTGAGATACGAGCATGCTTACTCGTGTAGGCCTCTCCATCTCTCTCCCTCTCTCTGTCTCTCTCTCTCTCTGTGCCGCTCTCTTTGCCAGGCATAAGGGCCGGTCAAGCCTCCCAGGCCCGCCCTTTAGACCCGTGAAACCTTTTTCGGAGGGGCGTGAGAAAACCTAAAGTCACTCCGTCCTTCCTCCGCACTGCGCACTCCGTCTGCCTGTCTCTCGCATTCCGATTCTCTTTGTCTTGCCGTTGTTCCCCGAAATGAGGGAAAAGACTTACGCCAGCTTCGAACAAGCTGCCGTGAAACAAAGCAGATGACGCCTCGGCACAATGGGCAAACGCCAGCAAAATCAAAGCTCGAGGAGCTCTAAGGCCCAAGCATCTAGGGTTTCGACTCACACACTCGCTCGATGCTGGCATGGCAAGAGAAGGTCCCGAGGGTTTAGGGTTTAGGGTTTCATCATGCTGAACATATGTTCTCAGTTCTCATCCATGCATCGAAATGCTGATACGAAAGATGCATGCCCTCTCTCCATACCATGTGTATATAGCCACACACGTGCATACAACATGTGAACATAACACAAGACAACAGAATATACATAGGTTACAAATTATACCTATCTACTTCTATCTGCTTTTGGCATGCTGCATCAAGCATGTCCTCATCGTCATAATCATCCTCTTCCTCTTCCGGATCCTGGGTGCAGGAGGTTCTCGGGTCTTGCGGTGCACCGCGGGGTCTGTGACGATGCAAAAAGAACCGGGTTGAGGAGTTCAGGGTTGTAGAGAGGAGATTGGCTTTTGGGGCTCAGGGCTTCAGTTTCTTGGGGTGTTATAGGGGGCTTTCTGAATCATTTGGGTATGGAGGTTTGGGGCTGGAAGGCATTTTGGGCTCAGCTTGGCGGGGTGCGGCTGTCATGTAGGGTTCTAAGTAAGACGTCCTAGGGGTTGTGGGTTGTGCTTTTAGCTTTTTGGATTCGCCACACATGAGTTATTTATGTAGGAGCCTGATTAAGGCACCCCTGGTTCTTGCCATGGCTAGGGTCCTTACTATGTTCCCAACAAATGTCAGAATACAATTACAAAGCGCAGAATGCTGATCAATCGGAATTCTTTATACATCATCTGACTGGGTGGAATCCTCATGCCTTTTTCTGGAATCCCCTTTTTTTGAGCAGGGGACTGCAATGCACTAAGCTCTGAATCCCTTCAGCCCAGCTCTGGAATCCCCTGCCCCTTTTTTCCACAAGGGGACTCGACTGCTGCCCCTACTGCCCAGCTTGACCCACATGGGGGTTTCCGAAATTAGGGGACCCATATATAGTACCCTAAATAGTAGGATCCTTATTATAAGGACCCCAGAGTAAGGTACCCCTGATTTTCGGAAGCTCCCACATGACAGAACGCATGACTGCGATGCGAGCCTGGCCACTTCGCGGCTCCGCCCTAAACCCCTCAACAACTAAAAGGGTTTAGGGTTTAGGGTTTAGGGTTCGGTTTAGGGTTTAGGGTTTAGGGTTTGGGGTTTCCAACCCTGACCCGTAAGCCTGAAACGATGATATATCTTATAATATCATACGATATTCTCGAGCAAAACATAATACAACAATTTTAAGCAACACAAAGAGTGAACCATAACATAACAAATCAATACAAAGTAACACAATGTAAACTGGTGCAATAAACATGTCATATTTCATGCGGTATCTTCATGCAGCAAAACACAAAAGATAACATACACAACGTGCAAGAACGGATAATACACTACGAAACAATATAATATATGACACTGTAACTTAGTATGACACAGTAAAACATAATATCGGATAGCTGTAAAATAATCTCATATCGTAGTATGTAACATAATGTCATGGATTAGGGTAGACTTTCAGATTCACTAAAGATATGAGGCCACATGCAAGAACATGCAATATAATATCATATATGTAATGTCACACAAACACTATAACATGTATAATATAGTTATAGTATAAATATGACGTAATACAATGCAACATAATATAATGATACAGTTGTGCTATAACATAATATGCATGGTACAGTATACTGTAAACAGCTATACTAGACTGTAAGAAAACTGAGATGAAGCATAATGTCATGAAAGCAATATAACCAACTATTACATAATTCAACTCCCAAAGACCGGGCTTCCTTCACCCGGGTCTTCTTCTCGGCAACCTTCTGGGCTTTTTTCTTCTTGGCCTGGAGAGGAACAAGCTGAATCCAGTAAGGAAATGGTGGGGCTTCAGCGAACTATGGGTTTCTGTTGAAGGCTCCCTATAATGAGGATCCTCCGAAGCAGTGCTCGACATCAGTCGGCCTTACTTTTCTAGTGCTCAATTGCACTACGATCCCTGAATGGGGTTCCAGGCAACCTGCTGGGCCAAGGGATGTCAAGGGCTTAGGAGTTACAGGTGCCCATGTTGGGTTGAGAGTTTTGGTGCCCATGTTGGGTTGAGGGTTTAGGCTTTTTAGTTGCACCTGTGAGAATTGGATACCTATCTGTTTCTCTGTTACTTGTCTGTTCATTGTCTCCACACCCACGTCTCAACTAGCCTTGCCGTCTATTCACTAGCTGCCACTAGCTACTGTATCTTTGCAATGTCTGTCTCGCTGTCCACCCCTCCAATTCTCGAAGTTTTCTGAAACCGCCGCAAGGAGCTGAAAACTGCGACAAGCAAACTCGCTAAGTTAGACCCCAAGCCCCAGCCCCCCTCTCTGCCCGTACAAAACCCTAGGTCCACCTCCTCCTCGGCCCACTGGCGTTCACTTTCCTCAAAAGCCTTTCCTTGGCCGGAAAGGCTGTCAAGTCTGATCCTAGAATCCGAGGACGTCAGAGACCCTGCTGCTTTCCTGGCCCACATGAACAGGCAGAAACCCTTTCGACAAGAACGATTCGCGGCCACCCTGTTCAATTCTGACACTCCCACAATGGCTAGGGTTACACGCAAGGTAAGAAGATTCGGTCAAAATTACCTGCCCAAATAAGAAATCTTTCCGATTCACTGCAAACCCTAGTCAGCTTGGCTTCGGCGCTCCTCCTCTAAGCGCTTGCGCTCGGCCTTAGGGGCATCTGCAGCACATGTACATACTCATATATACATGCATACTTACATACATAGCAACATATCATACCAGTGTTCCTTTCCCAAGGTTGCAGCCCTAAAGCGGACAAAGTCGAAGCCCCAGCAGTTCCGAGCCATTCCCATGTTGTTTGAACACAGAAACATAGTTGGGAGTTTCGGAATACTCGGGTACTCAACATAGAACTCAAATAATGCGTTCTGATTATACAGAGGCCCCTATCTCAATAAGCCGCACACGGGGCTCGTCTGGTTTCCTTAGGGAATAATTCACTTTCCAAGTCCTGCCAAAGCTTGATCGAAGCTGAAACAAGGTTTTATGCATTTTGGATTTGGGTTTAGGTTGTAGCGGCCTCCTTCTTGTTGAAGTCAGCCCATCTCTCTGCATCCTGCTGTCTCTCCTGCAAGAGCTGGGATTCAAGGCCACAAGTTCCTCTTGCTGCGTTCAACATCCCTGCTCCTACATCGAGGCTTCTCTTGATCGCTTTGCTAATGCTGGGGACGGGCCTCATCGGAGATCTCAAAGGCATTCCTGGATCAAGACCGGGGCTTCATGACATCCGCATGCAAAAGTTCTCTCTTCCGAGCAGCACAGCTGTTTCCAATTCAAGTCTGACCTCGAAGCATTTGGACTGCTGCACAGACTTCCCCCCAACCCGAAACATCGCCCTAGGTGCAAGTCAGAAACCTGACTACCAGCTTCTTATCTTTGACAGGGAGAACCCTGCACTAAACCTGAAAGCAACTCTAACACTCTACAGCCGTGCTTCCTGCAGCCCTGAACCCAATAGTCGGTTGCAGGCCTGGGAAGTAGACCCAAACTGGAGCCGAGAGTCTGGGGAGGTCCTTGCCTCCAGAACATCTCCTGAAGGCTTTTTTCAATGAGGGACTTCCTTTTACCAGCGGGGTGTATATTTACATATATACAACAAAACACACAAACTGTATATAAAAGAAACCTAGAAAAGTAATGAAATAAGTACTAAGTAAGTAAAGAAAGCATTATATATATGTATATTATATATTTATATATACTTTGGCTCCCACTTGGCAACGTCAGCGCACATATAATATATATATATATATAAATATATAAATATATATAAATAAATATAAATATTGATTGTAACCCCCCATGAACTACCGACCTTCGTTTTGTATTGTAAATACCGCGTTAAACTTGCTTTTCCGGCAGGTCCGGATTCGGTATCTGTCACAAACTGCCATAACCAAACTCACATTTCAAGGGAACATGTTAGACAACTGGTTCAGGTTTCGACGTGAGCACGCACTCAACGGCAACACTGTACGCCTCCACTCAGGCAACTCGTTCAGGATCGACGTGAGCACGCACTTAACGGCAAGAAACCAACTGTTTCCTAGGGCAAACAAAACAACAAAAAAAAATCTTTGGAGAAACTATGCGGCCAGACTCCAAAAAGTTTTTTTGGTTTTCCATAGGAAAAGCTTGGTTCTCGATGGAAAAACAATCTTTCCTAGGAAAAACTGGTTTTGGGCTGAAAAACCCAATTTTTTCCTAAGGAAAAAGATGGTTTTGTGCATGAAAACAAATTTTTTCCTAGGGAAAACAAAAAAAAACATCTTTTGGGAACCCATGCGGCCAGACTCCAAAATGATGTTTGTTTTTTTTTTGGTTTTCACTAGGAAAAACTTGGTTTTCGGTGGAAAAACATTTTTTCTGGGCAAAAATGGGTTTTGGGCTCAAAAACAAACTTTTTCCTAGGAAAGAAATGGTTTTGTGCTGCAAGAACCAAGTTTTTCGAACAATATGGTTTTTCCACCGAAAACTAATTTTTCCTAGGGAAAACCAAAAAAACATTTTGCAGTTTGGCTGCATAGTTTCCCAATTTCTTTTTGGTTTTCCTGCCCAAAACCATCTTTTTCCTAGGAAAGAATAGGCTTTTCGGCCAAAAACTATATTTATCCTAGGAAAAGTTGGTAGTTCACTCCAAAGCCAAGGTTTTCCTAGCAAGGAGTGTGCATTTCATTTGTTTCCGCGCGTTACGAATTCATGTTGCCAATAAGGCTCCAGTATCATTGCTATTGGGATTCGATATCGCTCAGCATTTTACTCTACAATATGCTGGGTAATAAAATGGACATTGTTCGGATCAGTTTTGGTGTCGAGGGAGAGCCGGTTATCACAGCTACGACTACGATGCCTTCTAGCTGACTGAGGTTGTAGATTAAATAAGAAAACATCGGGGTCAGAATATGGGTGGTGCTNNTGGTATCTAGTACAAGTTTAACATTAAGGTTAGCATGTCTATGTAAACACATATTTGTACACACACCCATATGGGCAAGTTCCTCAGCAAGTCTAGCATGGTCATATACTATAGTGAGAAAGTGGGTGCCATATACAATATGTTGAAGTAAACAAACAACTGGTGGTATCATCCATAAAAGTCTAAGGGCAATCATTTGGGGAACGCCAGAGCGAAGACAGCAAGGATCGTGGTTCTTAGTGAAATTCGTTTTTGTGTAGTTTAATATTAGCATGGCTATGACGGCAAGCATTGAGGCACATGCTTGGCCAGTCTTTAGCTTACATGTACGAATATTAACAGTAACTAGTTTTGGGGATGCCATGGCTTTTAACTTAACTTCGGGGACTTGAATGGGATCCCACAGCCGCATCTGGATGAACTAACCTGTTGATGAGGCCAATGGTCGGGGTTTCTCCTAAGGCCATTATTTGGGTTGCAGTTGAAGGACGTATCCGGTACAGCGAAGCTCTCATGCGTAATATTGAGTTGGCGAGTAAGGTGCATCTTGGGGGACTGCGATATCCTTACTATCAGGGGGCCAA